TCTAGGCCTGAAACGTCAGCCTTCCTGCTCCCTGATGCTGCTTGGCCTGCTGTGTTCATCCAGCCCTGCACCTTGTTATCTGTGAAATATTCATGCTTCTTTTCTCACCTTTGGGGAATAATTAACTATGATTTTATGTTGCAAAATAAAATCTATATATTCATTCAATATGTGACATTCATTGATTAAATTTTCTGCCATTCTACCATGCTATGACATAAATGGGTGAGGAGAACATATTAGACTTGCATGAAACATGCTTTGGAACTTGTTGATAGATAAGTTAAAATTCATGAGGAGTCATCAGAGTAGATAGAGAGAGACTGCTCCTACAATTAAGACCCAGGGAGCACAAATTTAAGGCATTTGGCAAAGGAAGCAAAGGTGACATGAGTAGAAACTTGAAGCTGATTCCCAGCTAGCCGTCAGTCTTCTTGTTTTACATTGTAAAAGTCTCGAGTTTGGAAGATGCTGTCAAAGGGGCATTGGCGAATTGCTTCAGTGCAATTTGTAGATGATACACATTGCTGCCACTGAGCCATTGGTGGTGAAGTAGGTGTTGAAGGTGGTGGATGGGATGCTCTGTCCTGAATGGAGTCAAGTTCTTGAGTGTTGTTGGAGCTGCATGCATCCAGACAAGTGGGGGATATTCCATCATACTCATGAGTTGCACCATGCAGGTAATGGACAGGCTTTGGGAGATGGAGGGGATTAAATCATACCACATTGCCAGCATCCGATGTGTCTTTGTTGCTGCAGCATTTATATGGCCGGTATGATTAATTTCCAATCAGGAGTATTCTTTAGGATGTCTGTTTTCACTGATACACTGGACTGCCCCATTACTGAAGGTGGGGAGGTTTGTGGAGTTCCTTTTATGGTGCATTGTCCACAAACTTCATGACTGGATATGTTAGGATTACTAAGCTGTTGGTTGTGGGATCAATTAGCTCTGTCTACAACTTCCTGCTTCTGCTGCTTGCTGTTCAGCACACGTGGTATTTTGCTGCACAATTTCCTAATCCAGCACGTTGTGATCTGTCTACCTGCACTATGGTTCTAGTTCCAATATATGAAATTTCACTGATTAGATGACGAGGTCATGATGAGTATTTTAATTTCGGAATAATTCAGATCATACTTGTTGCTTTCCTTGTTAAAAAGATTTATTTTGTTGTTCACATCTGCATGTGGAAGACATAATAATTTAAATCTTCATCTTCCCACAGGAATAAAAACCTGTGGTGCTATTGGTGCTCATGCAGCTTTATCCTTTTTCAGGTTCCATGCTGAGGAACATTTTCGGTTTGAAAATGCAATTAACAGGATGAAAATTTAGCTGACTCTAATCATAACATGCAGAAGAACCATTAAGAGTATGTGGTGCAGCAACTTCTAAATGTGTTTTAAAAACTTCCATGTAGACCTTGATGTTACCGCTTGTGGTCTGGCAACTTCTCCAGTCTGGCAAATGCCTGGTCCTGAGAATGCCGGATTATGGAGGTACAACGTGTAGGGTTTGAGCACCTGGTTTTATTGATATGCATAGTGCTGCTCCTTCAGTAAGGATTTTTTTCCCTGTCTTAATAATAATGGTGGAATGATGGATATACCAGGCCATGAGGTTACAGATTGTATTCAGGTCAAATTCTACTGCTGCTTGTGACTAATAGGACTTCATAGATGTTCAGTTGTTGGGTCTGTTCTGAATCTGTCCCTTCTAGCACAGTAATCATCTATGTCACGTGATGGAGCATGTCATCCATATGTTTTTATTCAAAAACAAAAAGACAATCAATCGGAAAAACCAATTGGAATTCAGATTCCAGACTCATTGATGACTTATGTTGGCAATTCTGCCCAGTTTGAATAACAAATTTTGTGAAATTGTTAATTTCCAAAGAAATGGACCATGCATTACTTTATGACCAAACTGATGGGTGACTTAATTTCAGCTAGCCATTAAAATACAGCACAATGGAATTGGGTGATTTCAATTCAGATCTTTGTGCATGTGGTGCCTAGAACTCTGCCAGGCCTCAGGATGCTGCAGGGAGATCATGTCCATGTTACTGCTGCTTCCCACTATGCTGTTGGCAAAATGCTGTGCGCCCTGTAAAGTGGTGTGTAATTCAAACTTTATTTAAGCCAGTCAGCTACCTTTTCCAAGTTGCAGCCTGTCTGTATCTCATCTTGCTGCTGGCAGCGGAAACACATTGGAAAGACTACCCCATGGGGCTACTTGCAATTTTATGTCAGTTAACTTGCCAAACTTGCACTTGCTGCCATGGTTACCTGACATACAAAATCTGAATGCTAACATGCAATGGAGAAGGAAAATGCAATTTGATTATGCTTGCAAAGTTCCTCTTTACTTTATGGTGAGTTAGAACTACATTAAAGAGAGAAAACCTTTACAGGTACCAGTGTCCAGTATCTATTTGATTTATGTACAACACATTAAGTTATTTACCTTTTTAAAAGTTATATTAATTCATTTTCAATGAGGCAATGTCTCAATTTAATCACAGTCCATTCAATCAACATCCTCATCTCATACAATATAAATTATTGTTCCCTATCAGATTTTATTTTGTCTTCAAAGTCCCAGTGATTATCTTCCAAGTTCAAAGGTCTAAGTGGCCTCATCCTGCTCCTCTTTTCTGTGTTTCTATGTGAAAAATATAAAGCTTCAATAGCATGTTTCAGTTTCCAACAGTACTCAAGTTCTGTACTACCTCGTGACATTTGACAATAAATCAACTGATTCAGTGCGTGGTGGAGCCAGGTTGAATGCTACTACAATCAAAGAATCTGTACCATATTGTTTCATATTCTAGCTTTCACTGAATTTGGAAAAGAAGCTTCCTAATGATTTTGAATCCAACTTCTCAAGTACAGTCCCTACAGAACACTTTTACAAAACGTGGGGGAAAGATAAGAATTCATCCATTCTGCATTGCCAGATTGTGAAATTATTGAAGCTGAATGATTAACCTGTTTGTCCTTTTGATTGCAGAGACATTTCAGAATATCATTCGGCATGCAGAGAATAACACCAAGATGCTGTTCAGAACGACCTACCGGAATATGGCCTTCCAGACAGTTGCACCAATTCAAGAGCTCTTCACTGATGTTGCACTCTTTGTTATTGGCTCAGAGATGAACGTTGATGAATTTGTTAATAGATTTTTTGATAGTCTCTTCCCATTGGTTTATAATCATCTAATCAATCCTGCCCTCACTGACATCTCCCCGGACTTTGCAGAATGTGTACGGATGGCGAGGAAGGACCTAAATCCATTTGGTAATATTCCAAAATTAATAACGAATCAAATGTCAAAATCTCTGATGGCTAGTCATATGTTTCTGCAGGCATTAAATTTAGGAATCGAAGTTATCAACACAACTGATCACTTACAGTACACTAAAGAATGCAGCAAAGCTCTGCTGAAGATGCTATTCTGCTCCCATTGTCATGGATTGACTAATGGTAAGCCATGCATGGGCTATTGCCTGAATGTGATGAGAGGATGCCTTGCTGCCATGGCGGAAATTGATCCACACTGGCGGGAGTATATCAGATCGCTGGAGGAACTGTCAAATGGAATACAAGGAACTTACGATATAGAACAAGTTTTGCTGAATCTCCATTCATTAGTGAATGATGCGATTATGAATGCTCAAATCAACGGGCCAAAATTGTCAGCAATGGTGAGCTTTTACAATGAATTTTCAATTTTGCGTATACTATAATAGGCAACATTGCTCATTTTTATAGACTCGCATATAATGTGATATAGCTTTTTCCCAAATAATTCTCATATCAGCCTTTGGTTTCAATATACTCTGAAGTTCAGAACTGAGACTGAAAACATCAAAACAAAAATATTCGTTGTGAAACAGAAATCTTTTGGTTCCAGAGCCTTGTCAAATCCAGGATCCCAGATATGAAAGAAAAAAAAGTGATAGAATTGTGTGTACACTATCCACTTCCTTCTCTTTCTTGATGTCCCTCTGTCTCTCAATTGTGTATTTCTCTTTCTGACACCCTCTCTATCTGTCTTTTTATATGCCTGTGTTTGTATTTGTTTTTGCAACCCTCCCAGCATTTCTCCTCTGTTGCCATCTCTCTAGGTCATTCATAATGAAATATTTTTGGGCTCAGGAATCCCATTCATTAAGATCATTGGCAATTGGCATGGGTAACTTTGCTGTTGCATTAGCAGATGCAGTTTGGTGTTTATGTGTAATTATGGGACAATGGAAACAGAACTTTTCTGTGAGTCTGTGTATCCACACTATGAAAGAATGCAGAAAAAAATGGAAACCTTACTTGATCCACTACGGCTTTCTTACTTTGTATTCATTTAGATTATATTGCTGATGTCACAGTAATTGCTCCTGAGATTAAATATATGCCTCCTGACCACAATAGATCAGATCACTGAATGCTTCATGGCAGAATGTAATTAACTTAAGAGCACAATAGACATTGATGTGTTATCTTTAATTCTCCCTAATTACTGCTTAAAATTTCTATAAAGCTGGATGAATTAATCTTGAGCTATTGAGCTCTTGGGAGTGATGGTGACACAGTAGAATAGGTAATATCACTGCACTAGTAATCTAAATTCCACCATGGCATCTTGTGGAATTTAGATGAATTAATAAATCTAGAACAGAAATTGAGGTCCTTATTTTCATTCCTGAGTTGGGTGCATGGAGGCAGGAGAAGTCCTTATTCCATGAACTCAACCTGTAGAAGTGGGTGTTTGCATTTCAATTTTCGGTCGATGAGCAGGCTGGATTGGGATTTGGGTTGGGCAACCCAGGAAGAACAGAGGAAGCTGCTAGTTCTTAAGGGTCTTTGAGCAGGAAATCTAACGGGGGACATTTACGTGGTCTCCAGTACCTAGAAATTCAGATTCAAGCATATAAAATCCCTGTTGATTTCATTCTTCATTCTCAACGCCCCCCTGTTCATGCCAATCCATGTTTCCTGAACCCTTGTGCCAATTTATGACACCTAATGCCCATTCACCAATCTGCCATTGCTGGTATTCCCCTTGACATCCTATGCCCCTCTACCCATCTCTTATTGCTCTGCTTTTCCCCATGCCACTGAATGCCATTCAACCATCTTTCATGTCTCCTCACACTCCCTAAACTGTCAAGCATTCCTTGCCATTTATAGCCATTTAGCAATTCAGTGCCAACTTATACCCAGCCACTTACCACTATTTGCCCTTACTCTTCATGTAAACTCACCCAGTATCTGCCATTGACATACCCCAGAGGCATCCTGACAGAAAATAAATTTATCAGTCCATTGATGATCTTATTATTGAAAAAACATATATTCATTGATATAAAAATGCAATACATGGAAACTCCTTTAATGAATTCCTCACAGAATATAACATTTCACTTCATTTCTCAATTCCTCATGTAAACAAACATTTCCATTCTATAAACATTTGGAGCTGTCCATTAAAATGCTCAATTGATAACATGCTAGTGATAGTTTGAGAAACCCATCAAGTAGCACAAATCCTACAATAGTTTATGTCAGTTGGAATACTGAAACATTGGGACTGTTTATTATTTAACTCCACAGATTTTTTGGACATTATTTTGACAGTTTTGACTGTGCCAGTTGTCAACATAGTCATCAGCAAAGTGACTGAATGAGTTGTTGGCAATGCTATTAAACAGAACTTGGTCAGCATTAACCTGCTTGCTGACATCCAGTTTGGGCTCCACGGGGACCACTCAGCACCTTACCTCATTACAACTTTGCTCTGAGCATGGACAAAGGAGCTGAACGCTAGAGGTGAGCTGAAAGTGACTTAACATCAAGGCAGTGTTTGACCAAGCATGGCATTAAGGAGTCAAATCAAAATCAGAGTAAATAGGAATTGGGGAAAATGTCTGAGCTGGTTGGATAATTACCAAACACAAAGGAAAATAATTGTGGTTGTTGGAGGTTAATCATCTCAGTCCCAGGCAATCTGCAGGATTGCACGTTTACACTGGAGGAGTTAATCAGGGGAAACGTCTTAGGTTCAACCACTTTAGGTGCTTTATCAATGACTTACCCTCCATCATAAGGTCAGATATGTTTGTTGATCATTACACAATGTTCAAAACATGGCTTCATACATTCGAAAGCAGTCCCAAATGCAATGAAACCTGGACAGCATTCAGACTAGGGCTGATAAATAGTGAGTAACATTTATGCCACACAAGTGCTAGACCACGAATCCTACATTTCCAACATCGTGGGGATTACTATATACCATGGACTTAACTGGACCAGTTATATAAATACTGTGTCTACAACAGCAAGTCAGAATCTAGGAATTCTGCAGCAAGCAATTCGTGTCCTATCTTCCCAAAGCCTGTCCACTTTTGACATGGCCCAATTCAGGTGCTTAATGTCACAAATACTTTTCACTTGTCTGGATTAGTACAAATCTATTAGCATTTGAGAAGTTCAACACCATCAAGGAAAGAGGAGCCCGTTTGTTTGGCACCCTATCCACTACTTTTAACATTCACACCCCTCACCACTGGCACACAGTGGCAACAGCATGTACAATTTGTACGATCTACTGCAGCAACTCATCAAGTTTATGACAGGACCTGCTAAGCTCATGATCTCAATCATCTAGATGGACAAGGGCAGCAGGTGGATGGAGAAACCATTATCTGCAAGTTCCCTTCCAAGCCACACACCATCCTGACTTGGAACAGTGTCTCTGGGTCAAAATCGCTACCCAACAGAACTGTGGACATATCTACATACGAAGAACTGAAGCAGTTCAAGAGGGCAGCTCACCATCTCTTTTTCCAGGACAGATATAGATGTGAATAAATATTGGTCTATGCAGACCTATCTACATTCAATGGAAAATAAGAAAAGGGTGTATGCACTCGTTACACACAAGCATACCTCCTTCTTACAAGCCCAGTGTACTTTACCCTTCCTGAATCTGCAATCAGACCAAATCCAAAAGGCACTTTGCATCTTGAAAGGAGTATTTTATCTATCCAAACAAATGTACTGAGAATGGACCTGGCCTTAACTGCCTAATCTCTACACTCTGGGTTTCATCCTTCACGGAATCCACAAACCCATTTTAGTAGAGACAGCAGAACACTCACAATAGCCAGCTGCCTCTGGGAACTGTGCATGTGCAAACTACAGTCTGCTCCCAATCCTGCTCCCCAGGAAAATGAGATATGCTTGGGTCAGGGGCAGGATTGGGATTCCTAATTCCCATTTTTATCGTGGCAGATGTGCTTTTCATAGCAGAAATCTGGGCCCACTGTCTCAGTAATGAGTAATAGCCACATTTTTGATTGTCATAAAAACCCACCTTGGTTTACTGTTGCACTTTAGGAAAAGAAAACATCTGTCCTTACCCAGTCTAACCTACATGTGACTCAAGAACTGCAGCATCGAAATAATGGGAGTTTTCAGTCTATCTGTGACCGTAAACTTAATGTGGTAATTTAAACATCGAGGTTCCATCATGCTTTTATTGTCCTATTTTCCAAATAGCTTGCCAGGCATTTAAATATGGTTTTTACTGCAGGACAAATTGAACGTGTATGTACATGTAATTTAATAAGTTGTGGTTTGTCTGTTACTTCTTTCTTCACTGGAGAACATTCCCTACATTCATCTCAATGGTGGCTTTGACTGGATGATTCACCCTTTATAAATGTCAAATCTCTGGCCTTAATTATCGAAAATGTTTAGAGCAGCATCATACTGATGAATGAAATCACTTCCTTCCCTCCTTCAATGCTGTATCTTTCACAAAGTAAAACTGGAGCCTTCAAATTATTACTGTTGAAATTTGTGGCCAGACACCAGTTGTATGAGATTTTTCTGTACTTTACTTATGCTTAAATAACAAATAATTAAAAGTAAAGGATCCATTCCAGCATTTAACTGGTCAACATTGGAATGTCATGGTAAGTGATCATATTCATGTTTCTTATCATGTTTTGGTCATTTCAATTTATTTTTCATTGGATGGTTTGGAAATGATGAATTTTCAAATGTTGTGCCTCAAAACAAAATACATTCACAAATTTTTGAAGTGCCAATCATTATTTATAGGCTTGAGTTCAGTAATGTGACATCTGAAGGCCATGTCACTAATTGTACAATGAAGGCATGCATAAATTATTATTTATGCTAAACAAGAGAGAGTGCAAACTGGGTGTATTGTAGCATTTGTAATACTAGCCTGAAGAGAGATTTCTGAAGGAAGACAATGGGAGGGGAAGCCAATAGTGGATGCAGGATCCTAGGGTCTTCAGAATTTATTTGGGATCATTCAAAGATTTTGGAGTTTTGCAGTAGAATTTGTGATGAAACTCAGAGTCAGCTTGGATAGCACTGAAGAAGAAAATCAATCCTGGAGATTAAAAAAAAAGAAGGGGATGAAGATTTTGATGGTGAGTGGTGGGCAAAAAAAAACAGCAGCTGATGTTTTGTGACAGAATACAGACTGAACTGGATGAGAAGTATGAAGCCTATGTTAGCAACATTTAAGGCACCAGGATGATCAATTTCTTGATAAGAAAGCAGCTGGGGATGGATGAAGGAGTCAGGTAAAGTATGTATTGTTAAGCACAAACGTGTATTAAAACAATGACTGCACTTCAAGAGTACTTCTGTATAGTTGTAAAAT